TATATATATCTAATATTTTATTATTAAGTAAAAATCAAAGGTTAGTGCCAATAAGATGACTATCCTTGCTTATCCTAACATAAAAAATTAAATCCCAGTCGAATATTTGATCTGCAGAACATAGAGAATCTTCAACGGTTTTCAAAATTAATATTTTGACTTTATAGCCATCGTGCTGAGAATGCCATTTTGCAGAAATATGCAGCATAGAATAGCAGACCTATGTTGGTGAGATGGCTCGGTAGGTTAAAGAGCTTGGTCTGTAGGTCAGGTGACCTGAGTTTCAACCCTGGCTCCCGAGGGCGAGAAAAGCCAAACTCCTTTAAAGCTGTCCTCTGATCTCCACATGTGTGCCCTGGAGCCTGTAGTTGCCCCCATACATAGACACATACACAAAATATTCAAACACCTGAATGATTGTAATAAAAACCAAAGTTATCTATGACCTTCACACAAGCACTGTGACATGTGCACACTTGCTTCACAATACATACCTCATATGTGTTCTTTCATGCACACACACACACACACACACACACACACACGATAAAAATTTAAAAACAGAGTAAGTATGTTAGGGCACAAGCTAGAGTCATCAGAGAGGAAGGAGCCTCACTTGAGGAAATGCCTCTGTGAGATCCAGTTGTAAGGTATTTTCTCACTTAGTGATTGTTGAGGGAGGGCTCAGCTGGTGGTGGGTGGAGCCCTCCCTGGGTGGCTGGTCCTGGATTTTATCAGAAGGAGCAGAGCAAGTCAGGGAAAGCAAACCAGTAAGCAGCAACCTCTACGGCCTCTGTATCAGTTCCTGCCTCCAGGATCCTGCCCTGCTTGTCCATCCTTTCCTCTCCAACTCGCTAACTAAGTCTTTTTTTTTTTTTAAAGATTTATTTATTATGTATACAGTATTCTGTCTGCATGTCTGCTGCAGGTCAGAAGAGAGCACCAGATCTCATTACAGATGGTTGTGAGCCACCGTGTGGTTACTGGGAATTGAACTCAGGACCTCTGGAAGAGCAGTCAGTGCTCTTAACCTCTGAGCCATCTCTCCAGCCCTAACTAAGGCTTTTTCCAAGTTGCTCTTGGTCAGAGTGTTTTATTACAGCTGTAGAAAGATGGTGAGACACTGGGCTTCTGAGGAATCAAGTTAAACGGAAGAGCCTTGAGCACAAGAGGAACCCTGACAGAACACGGACAAGACGATGTCCATCGACCATCTCTGTGCCCAAGGTGGGTGGGTTAGCACATCTTTTTGAAAAAAGGGAATCTAGGAGGAACCCATCTACCCTTGTTTTGGTTACTTTTACTTATTGTGACTATGATTATTATTTGTTGCTGTTGACTTGACACATGCTAGGTTCATCTGAGAAGGGGTAACCTGGACTGAAAAAATGTCCCAATCAGATTGGCCTGGAGGCAAGTCAGTTGACAACTGATGTGGGGGAAGGCTCAGCCTACTATGGGCGGTGCCACCCCTGGGCTAATGCTTCTGGCTGTATAAGAAAGCAAGCTGAGCAAGCCAGTAAACAGTGTTCCTTCATGGCCTCTCTGTGAGTCTCTGACCAAGGTTCTTGTCCCAACTTTTCTCAGTGAAAACCCTTTGCTCCTCAAGTTGCTTTTTGGTCATGGCGTTTATCACAGCAATAGAAAACAAACTAAGACCCCTTAAACTTTCTCTGCAGTTGGTATTTCTAGAAATTTGATGGGTTCTCAACTAAACTACACAGCAGGGTAAAGGAGAAACCTGAAGTCTAGTCAGGTAAAGTGGCACAAGCCTTCTATTCCAGGACTCGAGGCGCTGATGTGTGTGTGTGTGTGTGTGTGTGTGTGTGTGTGTGTGTGTTGTGTGTGTGTGTTGTGTGTGTGTGGGGCGCTTGAATTTGAAGCCGGCCTGAGCCACACAGTCAGAATCCGTCTTAAAGCAAAAGAAATGGAGCCAGACATGCTGACTCAAGTCTGCAATAGCACTAGGGAGGCAGCAGAGTCGATGCAATCAGAAGCTCAAGGCCATCCTTGGCTAAATAGCAAGTATGCGGCCAGCGTGGACAATATGACATCTCATTTCCAAGCAAAAACAAAAAAACCAATCAAACACAAAAGAAACCCAAGGCTAAAGGGAGAGGAAGAAGATTAAAAAAAAAATGGCCCCAAACACAAAGCAGAAATGGACAGAAAGGTTGGAGTTGCAGAGATGTGTTGTCTTGGAAACCACTCTGCAAAATGTTGTCATGGAAACCAAAGGGCTATGTGTCGTCATGGAAACCACAGTAAGACTCCTATTAGGGATGCTTTAGAACTATTTTTAAATCCTCTGGCAATCCGGGTGGGTCCTTAACATGAGATCGGGCAGGCAACTGATGCCACTAAGCACCTGTGTGTATATAAACATACACACATATATAAAGTTTCTCTACCTATTTATGTATTTTTTTCTACATGAACATGACATTTATCTACTTTTTGGTCGAGGCAGTCTCTCAAACCCTAGACTAGCCTCAAATTTGAAAAGCATGTATGTAAGGATGACCTTAAGCTTGCTCTCTCTCTCTCTCTCTCTCTCTCTCTCTCTCTCTCTCTCTCTGTCTCTCTCTGTCTCTCTCTGAGACAAGGTTTCTCTGTGTGCCAGCCCTGGCTGTCCTAGAATTCTCTCTGTAGACCAGGCTGGCCTCGAACTCAGAGATCCCACCCGCCTCTGCTTCCTCCCTGAGTGTTGGGATTAAAGATGCATCATCACTGAACAGCTGACCTTGAACCCTTAATCCACCTGCCAAGGGATCACAGATGTGCCCCGATATGCTGACTGTTAATTAATTAATTGATTATTGAGACGCAGTCATTATGTAACCTCTATCAGCCTGATCCTTCATTTGCATCCTTGACATTCCTTGAACTTTCTGGGATTCTCCTCCTGGGATAACAGGCACACACCACTATGACTGGCTTTATAAATACATTTTAATTTAATTTATTTACATTAACATTTTCCCCCTCCCTTTTTAAAATTGTTTTCAAGACAGGGTTTCTCTGTGTAGCTCTGGTAGTCCTAGAACTCACTATGTAGACCAGGCTGCCTTTGAACTCAAGAGATCCTACATTCCCAATTTTTATTTTTGTCTTATGTGCATAATTGTATACCTGCATGTATGTATGTGCAACATATGTGCACTTGGTAACCAGGGTGATCAGAAAAGGGAGTCATATTCCCTGGAGTTGGACTTATAGAGTGCTGCGAATGGAGCCAGGGGTCTACCCAAGAACAGCCAGTGCCTTCATTCACTGAGCTGCCGCTCCAGTGTGAGAGTCTCACTATCTATAGCATAGTCTGGCCTGGGACTCACAGAATTCTGCCTCTGCCTCCCAGATTCTGGGATTAAAGTTGTGAGCCACCACACCAGGCCATAAGCACATTTTAATTTTTTCTCTTAATGTATACACATAATATTGGTTTATTTTTCACTTATTTAAAATATTTTTACATCTCATTTTTATTGTTTTCCAGTTAATCATTTTCTTAGTTTTACCTATTACCACTGCATAGAATGGCAAACGAGGCACAAGTTTTGGGATGGTGAGGAGGCTCAATTGGTAAAAGTGTTCCCTGTACAAGCCTGGGACCTGAGTTCAGTCCATGTGGAAGGAGAGCACCGACTCAAGCAAGCTGTCCTCTAACTTCCACACGTGTGCCTTGATGCACATACCCTGACACACACATCATACACACATACTCACAAATGAAATTCATTTGAAATGCGGAGTCTTAGAAATAAAACTTCTTTCAAGCCCACATTTCATTGGAACACTATAATTCAAATGCATTATTTTTTGTGTTTGTGTGTTTGGAGGTGGGGTTTGCTTGCACAAGTATGCTTGTGGTGGCCAGAGGTCAATGTTTGTATCTTCTTGATTGTTCCCCACTTTCTTTATTTAAAGTTTCTCTGTGTAGCCCTGGCTGGCCTGGAACTTGCTATAGTAGACCAGGTTGGCCTTGAACTCAGAGATCCACCTGTCTCTGCCTCCTGATGCTGGTATTAAAGGCCTGTGCCACCACTGCCTGGCCTTCAGTTTCATTTTTGATGACAAAGTCTTCCGATTATTCTCAGTCTATAGGGTAAATCTCAGTTTCTGGGGTAACAGAAGTTGCCTTCTTTACATGTACTTGTGATGTGGTTGCTTAAATTTAAACATAACCCTAGTCTTGGGAGTTTTCGTCTAAGTTATAGTGGACTTCGCAAGGTCAGTAGTTTTCTTTCTTATTTCTTTGTTTACTTATCCAACAGTGCTGTGATTCACTCCAGAGGCTCAAGAGCGTTCTATTGCCAGGTTGTACCCAGAGGTTTAAGTTATTTATTTGACATGTGTGGGTGTTTTGTCTAATGTGTATCTGTACCCCACATGTATGCAGTTCCCACAGAGGCCAGAAGATGGTATAAGATTCCCAGGACTGTTGGCTGCTGGGAATTAAACCTGGGTTCTAAGCAAGAGCTGCCAGCGATAACGGCTGAGCTATCTTTCCAGCCCCGTTACTTTGTATTCTAGCAAAAACAAAACAAACAAAAAAGGAGGAAAAACCCAAAAACCCCAAAATAATAATTTAAAAATTATAAAAGTTGTCAGACACAGAGGTACATGCCTTTAATACTAGCACCCTTGGAGATAGAGGCATGTGGATCTCTGTGAGTACCAGGTGAGCCTCATCTACACAAAAAGTTCAAGAACAGACAACCAGGGCTCCACAATAGGACCCTTTCTGAGGTGTGAGGGTGAGATATATGCGTTCACGTGTGTGTTTATATATATAAATTTAAAGAGAAAAAAATAGTCAGCGGTAGAAAAAATAGCCCTGGAGGATTGTAGGATACGGACTTTTTGTCCAATGGACATCTGAACAGTCCCAGTGGCCACATCTTTTGTCCATCTTTCTTATTAAGCCCAACTACAGAACCCACAGCTAGGCAGCAATAATGCCTAGCAACCAGTGCCTGGTTGCCATGGAGACCGCCGGGGATGCAGATCTGAGGAAGCCAAGTGCGCATGAGCGCTCTTCAACGCCAACGCCAGCTCTGTGGGGCTCAGGGGGATCAAGGCCGTTTGACCCGGGTAGACTGGAGCTGGAGCCGGGCATAGACACAACTTCCTTGCTCTTTGGGGCCGGGGCCTGCTCTCCGCAATCTAGCCTCCTGTCCTTGGCCTGCCTTGACTGACGGAAGCGGGGGTGGCCAGAACATCTCCGTGAACCAGCAGCGCTCCAGACTCCAGGAAGGGGCCAGGGCCGATTGCACCATATCCGGTACACGTGAGCACTGGGGGCCCAGATTAGGGAGGAGAATCTTGAGGGGAGAGGAGTCAGGCCTCTTACAAGGCCATCTGTGTCAGAGACAAGGGTGATCTATGGTTTTGTCCATCTTTCAGGGAATCTGACTTCACTGTCTTGTCACCTTGTGAGATTCATATTTGGGAACCAGCTCACCTCCACTCCTCTCCCTCACAGAGTCTTTGTTCCATGCACAGGTAGAGCAGGAAGATGTCGGAGCCCACGGCGATGAGCTTGCTGGAAGACTGGTGCAGGGGAATGGGACTGGACATCCACAGGTCCCTATTGGTTACTGGTATTCCTGAGCACTGTAGTCATGCAGAAATCGAGGAGACCTTGAATGGGGTCCTCTTGCCACTGGGCACATACCGTGTGCTCAACAAAATTTTTTTGCGGCAGGAGAACGTCAAAGCTGCGCTTGTCGAGGTTAGCGAGGGTGTGAACCTGAGCTCTGTACCCCGCGAGTTCCCGGGGAAGGGTGGTGTCTGGAAAGTGGTCTGCAGAGACCCCACCCAGGATGCTGAATTTTTAAAAAATCTGAACGAATTCCTGGATGCCGAAGGGCGCACTTGGGAGGACGTGGTACGTCTCTTGAGGCTTAACCGCCATCCATCATTCCCGAACCCAAACCAGCCTCCACCCAACTGGGCAGAAGCCATGGGGCTGCTCCTGGGTGCGGTGGTACAGGTTATTTTCTACATGGATGCAGAAATCCGTAATCGGGAGGAAGAAGCAAGGGCCGAGGAGGCCGAGCTGATGGCGACTTGGGCATCAACAGCGAGGAGTAGTGTAAAGAAGGAACCCGGGCTGGGTGTAGAGGTGGGCTCGACTTTCAAGATGGAGGACCGAAACCACTGGAAGACTGCAGAGGATCGTGGGGACTCTCCAAAACCTCTATTTCGCAGGACTGGAGGTAAGATTCGCTCCAGGAGAAGGAAGCAGAAAAAAAATCCTAAGCAAGAACCAATATGCTGGAGAAAACCCCAAGGCAACAATTACAATAAAGCAAATTTGGAAGGCGCTGAAGCTGCAGCTGCCGGAAACTCAGAGATCCCAGAGTCTGTCAAGATCAACAAAAAACCCCTTGTGAAGCAGGAGGAGACAGTTTGGAAGAAGAAAAGAGTCTGGAAGGATCCCAACCTTCCTCGGCGTTCACCGGCCACAGCAGAGAGCCCTGGGAATCTGGAAGACTCAGATCAAGATGGTGGTCTTGAGAGCCCTCCAAAGAAGAAAGCCATGACCTGGGCCTCAAATAAGATCCCTGCCCCCATGAGGAAGAAGAAGAAGATGGGCATGGGCTCGCTCTCTTATGTTCTGATTGATTCTGAAGCTGCCAAGAACAAGCCCGTGATTCCCAAGAAAGGGCCTGGTTCTAGAAGGGCCATGTTGGTTCAAAGGGCTCCTTGGGGGCCCCAACCTACTGATGCACCTGCTTCAGTTTCCAGTGCTCAGAAGCCCAAGCCAGGAGGCTTCCCTCATGTCTCCAAAGGTGAGTGCATATAGATATGATGTGGTTAGTTAAAACAGGGGTGTAGTGTGGGGGCAGGACCCTAACAGGACCCCAGTGCATAGGGACAGTGTTTGAAACCCCCTCCCAGGTGAGGGTTAGTGAGTGAGAGCCCAGTCCTCCTTCCTAGAACCCTTGCTAGGCTTCGTTCGGGTCTCTGTCAACCCCTGACTATCTCACCCATTTCCTTCCATAGCAATGTAATGGTTTGGGGCATGTAATCGTGTAACCCCAGCACTTCAGAGACCGAAGCAGAGGGCTGAGAGTCTACGATCAGCCTGCGCTACATAAAGGTTTATAATTTGAGATTCTGTTGTTTGTTGGGGTGCAGGACTCTAAGGCTGCTGTCTCTAGGGCTGACTGGGTGTGGACGGGGGTGGGCGTGGTCCTGGACTCAGGAGGTTCCCAGGCAGTAAATATCTGATTATGCCTGATCCTGCTCTCCTTCTGGGGATATTCTGATTCATCCACAGATTCCAGAAAGCTGTGATTTGGGGAACCCTGTACCTGAGGAGGTGGAAGAGCATCGAGAAAGAAGTTTCAAGTTGGAAGCAAACTTTTCCTTTGTGGTTGAATGAAACGTGACTTTGGACTGTGTAGGGGCCTGTTTACGTGTGTGTGCTCTGACCTGCACAGGTAATGGATGTGAGGACTTAGGAGGTGTGTGTGCTGGGGTAACTCTGTGTCTTTCCTTCAGTAGGAGCTTCTTGTCACCTCTGCTCACCCTCAAAGGTGGAAGAGATGATAAGTAGCTTTAGAAAATGCTAGAACATTCATTCCCTTTTACCCACAAGAGGACTCTTGGTTATGGTTTCCCACATTTAGCCTTTATTTTCCTCTACCCTCTGCTTTTTCTTCTGGAGGCCCAGGCCTCTTGTAGAACCTGAAGTCCAGAAGGGCAGGGTGGCCATTTTGTCCCTTGTGCTGTAAGCATTTGGTAAGCTAGGCCAAAGCTAGCTTTGCGTACTTCAACTTCGGTCCTTCAGCAAGCTAGCCAGAAGTTGGTTAGGTCCCAAGAGTTGGTTCTGGAGAAAAACCAAACATCTTCTGGCCCTTGAATTCTTCAGATTTCAGAGTCTTTAAAGAAAACAGAGGGCAGGGGAGACGACTCAGCGGGAAAGAGGCCTTGCAGTGTAAATACAAGGACCTAAGTTCTAATCCTTAGGACTCATGTGAAAAGATCATGTGTGGCTGCCTGTGCCTGTAACACCAGCACATTGGTGGTGGAGACAGGTGGATCCCAAGGACTTGCTGGCCAGCTGGCCTGAACCCGTGAGCTTCTAGGCTGGGGAATCCCCCAGTGAGGAGCTGGGGGCGTGGCTCAATGGCAGAGCTTCTGCCTAGCATATGCGAGGCCCTGGGTTTAATCTCCAGAACCAATAAGAAACAAAATGGAACAAAACAGCACTTTAGTTCCCAAATGAAGCAACACCCCTCTCAGAAAGCCTGCGGGGGAGAAGCAGGTTGGTAGAGAAAAATCAGTGTCTAGACCTCGTAGAGAGACCCCTTATCATTGAGGCTTAAGTCAGATGCTCACATTATAGGAAGAAAGGGAAAATCTCTCTTTTCAAAAGTTTCTTTTAAATGGATGGATTTCTGTCCTCTGAATTTAGCGCCATTAAATCTGACCATGTTGCCGTGTACCAGGCTGTGTACGTGTGAAGAGAGAGAATGGCGTCTTCGCCATCTGTGGTTTTCTAAGCTACATCTTGGGGACTCTTTTTTCATGTTTAGAAGCACGAAAGAGATGCTGGAGATACAACTCAATAAGAAAAGGGGCAGGAGCTTGCCACCAAGTCCGAGTCCCTGGGTTCAATCCCCAACACCCGCATAGTGGAAAGAGAAGCAACACCCGAGAGTTTGCCTCTGATCTCCACAATTATTCCATGGCACAAGCCCGCCCCCAGGAAATATAATAAAAAATTTTAACATTCAAAAGAAGCAGCTGTGGTGACACGTGGCTGTAATCCCAGCATGTGGAAGCTGAGGCAGGAGAATTGCTATGATTTCAAGGCCAGCTTGGGCTACAGAGGAAGACCCTGCCTCAAAATAAATAAGTAAATAAGAACATTTTGTTTAAAATATAGAAAAATGAAAACTCAACTGTGTTGCAATCTAAAATATTGAACTATTCCCTTGTGTGTATATGATAACTGTAACTAGCCATTGACTCTGTATTTTGTATATAGTTGTATTTTTCTTTCTCTCTCTGTGTGTGTGTGTGTGTGTGTGTGTCCATCTGTGCATGTGTGAGGGTTACTTTGGGCGTCACTCCTCAGCCACCCTCCACCTTTTTATGAGACAGTCTCTCACTGTCCTGAAACTGGCCAGGAGGCTGGCGGGGCAGTGGACCCCAGGGATGCCCCCCTTTGCACTGGGGCTACAAGCCTGTGCTATAGTGTTGATTTTTTGTTTGTTTGTTTGTTGTTTTTGCACAGGTTCTGGGGATCAAACTCAGATCCTTCCTCTTGCAACATAGTTTTCTAATGAGGTGTCAGGTGTGTGTCCCTTCTCCCCCACACACACTCTCTAAGTTTCTTGTAGGTGTGAACTTTGAGAAGAAAGGTGGGAAGGGAGTGGAAGGGATTTGGTCCCCTGCATGTCCTTTGACACAGTATCCAAAATGAATCTGCATCTGTGTGTTTCGCTTTCCTGTTCAGCCGTGACAGCGAGGTCCTTGCTAACCTGGTATTGCTAGCCCTCGTGAGTTTACATGCTCTTTTCCCCACTTCAGTTTTCTTGATCCAGAAACTGATCAGTTGTTAAACATTTGTCAGTGAATCAGTCAGTCGCCAGCCACTTTTCTTGTGATAATCCTTGAGACACCTTCGTGGAAGTAGCACATTGATACAACGATCAATGACTGTAAATGTGGGAGTGTAAAATAAAGTTGTGCAAATGAAGTCTCTGTGCAGTCTGTCTTGTTGGAGGAGGGTGCATGGAGGAGGGAGCTTGGAGGAAGATTTTTCCTGCTAAGTAGTAAGAGATTCACACGACCATTGTTAGTGTTCCATCAGAGAAGTTATTTGTTCTTCATTGATGTGGGCTGTCATCCATGTCTCCAATGATGTTATGGTTTCTCGACTAGGTAATAAGTGAGGCTGAATGATCTGAAAGTAGCAGTTTATTTAGGTATTTATGTTTTGGTAATAGGGATTGAACCTTGGGCCTCACATGTACTAGGTAATTACCCTACTGCTGAACCACACCCCCAGCCCCTCACTGGGGATTCTAGGCAGGGGCTCTACCACTGAGCCACACCCCAACCCCTCACTGGGGGATTCTAGGCAGGGGCTCTACCACTGAGCCACACCCCAGCCCCTCACTGGGGGATTCTAGGCAGGGGCTCTACCACTGAGCCACACAACCAGCCCTCTTTTATGTTTTATTTTCAAGCTAGGTTTCAGTGGACTCAGTGTAGGTCAGGCTGGCTTTGAACTTGTGACCTTCCTGCTTCAGTCTCCCAAGTAGATGGAATTACCGATCTGTATTATCAGACCCGACTGATGCCAGTTTATTATAAAAGTATCTGGAAAGTGAGAACTCTTTCTTCCCTCCCACCCCTTGGCAGAGGCAGAGAGCTTTAAACAATCTTACTGTGTGCGCCCGTGTGCATGGTGTGTGGGGGGACGTGTGCCAGCACAGTACACGGTACAGAGGACAGCACCGGGGGACCAATTTTCTCTTTCCACCTTTACATGGGTTCCTGCAATCTAATGCAGGTCACCTGACTTGAGGCAAGTACCTTTAACATGCTCAACCATTTCAGCTGTCCCAGGCAGAAGCTTTTTTTGGAGTGGAGATGTGTGTGTGGGTGGAGGATACAGAGACTTAACTATGCAGTCTTGGCTGGCCTGGAGCTCACAGAGATCCACCTGCTTCTACTTTCTCAATTGCTGGGGTTAATGATACGAACTACCATGCCGAGTCTTAGAAGTCTTTTAACTGGGTGGTGGTGGTACACGCCTTTAATCCAGGAACCAGGCAGGTGGGTCTCTGAGTTCGAGAGCAGCGGGGTCAACAGAGTGAGCTCCAGGACAGCCAGGGCTACACACAGAAAAACCCTGTTTTGGAAAACAAAGGCAAACAACGTCTTTTGATTAAAGTTTTCTCTTAACCTTTGAGCCATCTCTCCAGCCCTAAAGATTTCTCTTACTGGAGGCCCCTAGCCTGGGACTCCTAAATTAAAGTGACTGTCACACCAGATTCACCTGCACCCGCTATTAAAATGCAATTTTGTGGCCTCAACTGTGAAATCAGCATTTCTTGGAACTGTGTCTTGAAAATAGCATCTTGGGGATTGGTGTGTGTGTGTGTGTGTGTGTGTGTGTGTGTGTAGGCCAGAGGTTGATATTAGATGTTTTTCTCAAATGCCTTCCACCTTATTTTGGAGGACAAGGTCTCCCACTGACCCTGAAGCTCACTGATTGGATGAGGCTGGCCATCGAGTGAGCTCTGGGGCTCCTCCCATGCCTGCCTCCCTAACATTGCTGTACTTGTTTTTCTTTTTCTTTTTTTTTCTTTTCTTTTTTTTTCTTTTTCTTTTTTGTTTGTTTGGTTTTTGTTCATTTGTTTTTGAGACAGTTTTTCTATGTAGACCTTAGTATCCTAGAACTTGTACGGTAGACCAGGCTGACTTCAAACTCAGAGAACCACCTGCCTCTGCCTCCCGAGTGCAGGGATTAGAGATGTGCACCACCTCCATCTGGCTTTCTATATTTGGCTTTTTATGTGGGTACTGGAGATTTGCACCCAGGTCCTTACGCCTGCACGGGAAGTACGTCACTGCCTGATGCCCAGAACTGGCGTCTTTACGAACCTCTGAGGATTGTAATGTGCATGGACGGAGAGCTGTAGGTGGACGACAGTGGGGAAGTGGGGCCCAGAGGGTAAGGTTGGGCTTTTGTGAAAAGCAAACAAGGCGTGTTCCGGAGCTGCAGAGACCTGCGGCGGTACAGGAGTTGATCTGCAACACTGCCATCTGTCGGCTGACTTGAAAGCCGTCTTTGGGCAAGGTCTTCAAAGAACCCCACGATGGTCATCTGTTGGCATCCGGTAACTCACTAGGAAACTGAGAAAATCCCCTTGGGCCTAATGTGGGGAGGTCCACGGGTAGGACCCAGGTATGGGACACATGAAGGCAATCTCAGAGCCAAACTGCCTGCCGGTCAGAGCTGCCAGACATCTATCTGACAGCCAGGGATGAGATGAGAGTCCTGGCCTTCTGGAGCTGGTGAAGGTGACAGGAATGGGTGAGGGTGGGGTGGGGACCCAGAGTCAGATTCTGTTTTATTTTGTTACAGGATCTCATTCTTTCTTTTTCTTTTCTTTTCTTTCTTTCTTTCTTTCTTTCTTTCTTTCTTTCTTTCTTTCTTTCTTTTTTTTTTTTTTCTGGACAGGATCTCATTCTGTAGCTCAGGCTAGCCTGGACTTCTCTTTGAACTCATTGTGATTCTTCTGCCTCAGGCTCCCAAGTGTTAGGATTATAGGTGTAAACCACCATGACCAGTTTATATTTTTCAGTGCTGAGGTTTTGAACCAGGGACACCCCCCCACACACACACATGTTAGACAAATATTTTAGTACTGAGCTACATCCCTAGTCAATATCCAACCCTCTATACCTTTTGAGACAGGATCTCACATAGCCCAGGCTGCCCTTGAACTTAATACATAGCTGAGAACAACCTTGAACTTCAGATCCTTCTCCCCCACCTCCTGAACGTTGAGAGGATGCCTCAGTCCTGATGTCAAAATCTAGTCTTTTGCGATTAGTGCCATACCAAGGAGACAAAGAAATGTTTAAACTGAGTTCATTGTGTGGAATGTTAGGGAGAAGGTGAGAGCGTTTTCACTTTTTACACTCACTCCATCTTCCGTTAGCACACGTGGTGGGAGTGTGGCAGCACGTGGGCAGGCATGGTGCTGGAGCAGAAGCTGAGAATTCACATCTCAGTCTGCAGGCCGGAGGCAGAGAGAAAGAGCACGAGAGCAAGAGAGAGAGAGAGAGAGAGAGAGAGAGAGAGAGAGAGAGTTTGACAAGGACTTTTGAAACCTCAAATGCCCACTTCAGTGACACACCTCCTCCAACAAGGTCACACTGGTGTGGGAAGTCCTGTATTTGTGTTGTTTTACTGGTTAATGAATAATCTGTTTCAGCCAGTAGCTTAGCAGACTAGGGCAAGACGGGAATTCCAAGCAGATAGAGGAGGAAAGAAGGCCAAGTCAGGGAGACGCCATGTAGCCGCCACAGCAGACAGACGCCTCCACTGGACTAAGACTTTGCTGGTAGGCCACGACCTCGTGGTGATGCACAGATTAATGGAGACGGGTTAGTTTAGGATATAAGAACTAGCTAGAAATACGCTTAAGCTAGTGGCCAAACAGCATTGTAAATAATATAGTTTTTGTGTGATTATTTTGGGTCTGAGGAACTGAGAACTAATGAGTGGCTTCTGCCAACACCACACCTCCTAATCCTTCCTAAACAGTCCACTAACTGGAGACCAAACATTCAATATATGAGTCTATGGGGCCATTCTCATTCAAACCACCACATGCACTGAATTTTTTCTTTTTTTTTGTAATTTTAAAGATATTTAACGTGAAAAATGTCTTTTAATGTTACACTTAAAATTCTAAGGTTTATCTTATGTGTATATTATTCTATGTATATTTTATTTAATGTTTTGCTTGCATATGTGTGTGGTTGGAAAGGCATCAGATCTCTGCAAACTGGGGTTGTGAATGGTTGAGAGCCACTACTGGGTGTTGGGAGCTAAAAAAAAGGGGGGGGCTCATAACAATGATTTCTCAGACCTCCAAAATTCAAACCCCAACAAATATCACTTACATGAGTAAATGGCCCTGGTTAAAGGAACACTTTTTAAAAATTTTTATTGAGCTCTACATTTTTCTCTGTTCCCCTCCCTACCTTTCTCCTCCCCTTCAACCCTCTCCCAAGGTCCCCATGTTCCCAATTTACTCAGGAGATCTTGTCTTTTCCACTTCTCATGTATATTAGATCTATGTATGTCTCTCTTAGTGTCCTCATTGTTGTCTAGGTTCTCTGGGATTGTGGTTTGTGGGCTGGTTTTCTTTGCTTTATATATAAAAACCACTTATGAGTGAGTACATGTGATAATTGTCTTTTTGGGTCTGGGTTACCTCACTCAAAATGATGGTTTTTTAGCTCCATTCATTTTCCTGCAAAATTCAAGATGTCATTTTTTTCTGCTGTGTAGTACTCCATTGTGTAAATGTACCACATTTTCCTTATCCATTCTCCTGTCAAAGGGCATTCAGGTTGTTTACAGTTTCTGACTATGACAAAAAGCTGCTATGAACATAGTTGAGCACGTGTCCTTGTGGCACGATTGAACATCTCTTGGATATATACCCCAAAAGTGGTATTACTGGGTCTTGAGGAAAGTTGTTTCCTAATTTTCTGAGAAATCACCACACTTTTTTTTTTTTGGACACACAGTGTTTCTCTGTGTATCTCCAGCTGTCCTGGAACTCACTCTGCAGACCAGGGTGGCCTTGAACTCACAGAGATCTGCCTCCCTGAGTGCTGAAATTAAAGGCCTGCACCACCATTGCCCGGCTCACTTATTTTGTTTTTTAAAATGTCATCACACACACACACACACACACACACACACACACACACACACACACACGCACACACAATAGTATCATTATGTAGCTCAGACTGATTTGTACTCAGGATCCTCCTGCTTCAGGCCGTTGAGTACTGAGATCACCATGGCTGGCTGAACCATACCCACATGTTTTTATTCATTTATTTTATGTATTGAATGCAGGACCTCTAGGGTACTAGGCAGGTAGGTGTTCTGTGGCTGAGCTCCTCCCCTAGCCCCTTGCTCTTGGATCCACACCCAAGTCACTGAGTTGCCCAAGCCTGTCTTGAACTGTGAGTCCCCCCCCCCCATCCCCGCAGCCTCCAGGGTGTGTGGGATCTCATAGCAGCACCACCAGGTCCAGTTTGAAGCATATGTCATTTTTTTTTTCTCTTCTGGTTTTTGAGACAGGGTTTCTCTGTGTAGCCCTGGCTGTCCTGGAACTCGCTCTGCAGACCAGGCTGGCCTCAAACTCAGAGAGTTCTGCCTGCCTCTGTCTCCCGAGTGCTGGGACTAAAGGGATGCCACCACCATCTGCTGCCACATAGCTTTAAAAACTATCTCCCCGGCTGGAGAGACAGCTCAATGGTTAAGAGCACTGACTGCTCTTCCAGAGACCCTTAACTGGGTTTCCAGCACCCACATGGCTGTAGGGGTGAAGTGAGGGGGTGGCACCTGCAGATATTGACGGAATGTTCTAGAACAATGGCAAATGTGTAACCATTGTCAGCAATTATAGGTCATTTCTGTGCTCCAGGACAGTGATGGGTGTTTCTCTTGCGCTTTTTAATCTTCCATGAGAAGATCACAGAATGTTTCAGATTAAGTCTGAAGCAAAAATTTCCTACCGTTACTTTCTCAAGACTGTGTAGACTTAACTGAGCTTTCTTTTATCAGTGCAAGGCAAGCTGTTTCTAAAACTGTCAACAGGGAGGAAAAAAGGAGGGAGAAGTCTGAACTAAATGACCAGAAAGGAAGGAGGCTCACGATGCCCACCCCAGCTAAGAAGATGTTGGCAGTTAATGGTTGCCGGGGGAGAGGGTGTGGCCATTGGTAAGTATTACAGTGGGTTATATTGATTAGCCTATTAAGTAATTTTAGGAAAATTAAGGATGATTTTAAATGCAAGCTCAAAGACAATATATTAGAGTATAAAAGAAAAACACCCTAGGGCAGGCAAGTTGTAAGTCTTGCACCTGTAGCCTGCGTGAAGCTGGTCACACAGTGGCCTGCAGTCATGTGACACAGAGAGGAGTTTTAGAAAAAAAAAAGAGAAAGAAAAAAGCAAGCCCAAAGTACCAGAGACCTTATTTTATTTTTAATTTTTTTTGTTTGGTTTTAAGACAGGCTCTTATTACCTTACGCCAGGTTTAAAACACAAAATGAGCAACAGAAAAAAAAAGTGTAAGAGCGACCGAGGCCATCGACATAGAGCTGGCCAAACAGACTGAAGCCTCGCCATAGGGGATGGAGGCCATCGACATAGAGCTGGTCAAACAGACTGGAGCCTCGCCATAGGGGATGGAGGCCATCGACATAGAGCTGGCCAAACAGACTGGAGCCTCGCCATAGGGGATGGAGCCCTAGAACAGAGAAGAGAAATCGGGACAGGAGAGATGGCTCAGCTGGGAAGAGCATTGACTGCTTTTCTGGAGGGCTTGGGTTTGGTTCCCAGCACCCATGAGGCAGCTCACAACTGTCTGGAACTGCAGTTGGACACCCTCTTCTGGCCTCTGAGTATGTATGTGGTACACAGACACTCACACAGGCAAAACACCCACAGACCTAAAGTAATAAGAAAAGGTTAAAATGATGATGATGATGATAATAATAATAATAATAATAATAAGCCAGCCTGCTGGGTGTTGTGGCACACGCCTTTAATCCCAGCACTGGGGCAGCAGAGGAAAGAGAATCTCTGTGACTTCCAGGATAGCCTGCTCTACTGGTAAGTGACGCTACCTACTGGACCAACTGGTCGGCTCCAAGAATTATTCCTAAATAAATAAATAAATAAATAAATAGAGGCTGAAGAGATGGCTCAATGGTTAAGAGCACTGGCTGTTCTTCCACAGGTCCTGAGTTCAGTTCCCAGCAACCACATGGTGGCTCACAACCATCTGTAATAATAATGAGATCTGGTGCCCTTTTCTGGCCTGCAGGCACACACATGCAGGCAGAACACTGTGTATGTAATAAATACATCTTAAATAAATAAATAAATAAATAAATAATAAAAAATTAAGGGCCTCTATGGGGCCATTCACACATGTAGGTGAAATTTATTAAACTTCATGTTGGAAGACATAATACTTCATGTTAAACACCTTATCTTAAGGTTAGGGAATAATAAAAAAAAAGTTAAAAAAATAAGAGCAGGCAAGAAGGTTCAGTGGGTTAAAGGTGCTTGCCACCAAGATTGACAACCTGAATTCAAGCCCTAACTTTTTTTTTCCTCCAAAACAGGGTTTCTCTGTGTAGCTTTGGAGCCTGTCCTAGAATTTCCCTCTGTAGACCAAAGTAGACCAAAGTGGCCTTGAACTCACAGAGATCCGCCTGCCTCTGCCTGCCCAGTACTGGGATTAAAGGTATATGCCACCATCCTTGGACAAGCCCTAACTTCTTTATTTATTGTTATCAGTCTGCGCGCATGAATGTGTGGGTGTGAGTGAGCGAGCAAGCGAGAGATCAAGCATTTGTGTGCCCCTCTCTGGGGACTGAACTCTGATTGTCCAGCTGAGGCATGAGCCACTGTCCCACCCTGGTATTGGTTTGTAAATGTAAAACCAAACTGTCCATTTCCTGCATCCAGTTCCAGGGTTTAACATAGGACGGCAAGAGAAGCCTCTGGAGCGCTGAGTGGCTTAGCTGGTTAAGACTGTCTTAACCTTAACTTTCTGTCAAGTCTGATCATCTTAGTTTCCTGGGACCCACGATGTGGAATAAGAGAACACCCCTCCACACAAGATGTCCCAGACCTCCACATGCACACACATGCATGCAAACACACACACACAATAATGAATAAAAGTGTATGCTGGGTATGGGAGCTAACACCTTTAATCCAGCACTCGGAGGGCAGAGTCAGGTTAGATCTCTGTAAGTTCGAAGTCAGCCTGGCAACTTTGAACTACATAGTGAGTTCCAGGACAGCCAAGGCTGTGTAGAGACCTTGTTTCAAACAAAAATTATCCTGGAACTCACTATGTAGACCAAACTGGCCTCAAACTCACAACAATCTGCCTGCCTCTGCCTCACAGCACTGGCATCAAGGTATGCACCACTATAACCAGCTATTACTATTTTGTTTTTGTTTTGAGGCAGTCTGAGAGTGTAGCACAGACTGACCTTGAACTTGCAGCAATCCTCCTGTCCCAGCCTCCTGAAGTAGATTACATGTGTGAGTCATGATACCCAGCATTTTGTACATTTTTTAAAACTTTGCCTGCCCATATGTCTGTGTGAGGGTGCTGAATTCCCTGGAACTGGAGTTACAGACAGTTGTGAGTCCCTGTGTGGGTGCTGGGAATTCAACCCCGGTTCTCTGGAAGAGCAACCAGTGCTTTTAGCCACTTAGCAATTTCTCCAACCCCACTTTGTACATTTTATTGATAATAAATAATTAGTGGGCTGGTGAGATGGCTCAGGGAATAACGATGCTTGCTTCCAAGTCTGACGACCGAGTTTGACCCCCCAGAACCCACACCGTGGAAGGAGAGAAGAGAACAGTCTTCCTCGGGATGTCTTCTGTGTGTGTGCTACTGAATAAATAAATAAAATTTAAAATTTGAAAGATCAAATTGTAAGTTAAGTCTAGTGGTGTTGGGCTTTCTGTGTTTTGCAGAACATTCAAAAGAGAGCCACCCCAGAATGTAATTTTAGGCTCTCTGGCAGCAGGGAGGAACGGTTTTTATGAACTAACTCTTGGACCTCCATTCAGAATCGTATTTATTGATTGTACACAAAGGTTGTGTTTGGGGTAAGACAAGTTCCTCATACCAAAGCCCCTTTTATACTCAATATTCAAACGTTCTCTGAAGGAAACCATGATATCCTGCAGCTGTCCGCTGTACCCAGTAATGCAAGACCACCACGTGTGACCAAGGCCATGCAACGGATGGAAAACCTCCCCAGAAAAACAACTCCATAAATCGTGGAAAACAATCACTGCTCTTGACGAGATTTCAAGGTCTCGGTACCGCCAGCAAACACTCTGCATTCTGCCCTTACCTTAGACCCGGTGAGAAACAACTGCCACACTCTAACGTTTACCCTAGCCACAGTGACAACTAGATCCCCACGACATGGGGCACATGTCTGTCCTTTCATCACGTGGGAGGCTGAGGCAGAGCATCTCTCGGTGCATTAGAGGCCAGCATATGTCCCATAGTGAGATGCTGTCTTTAATATTTATTTAGTGTGTGCGATGTTGTCTACATGTATTTCTGTGCATGCCTGGTGATGACAGAGGTCCGCGAAGGGCGTCAGGTTTCCTGGGATTAGAGTTGCAGACTGCTGTGAGCACCATGCGGGTGCTGCGAATTGAATCCAGGTCCTCTGCTAGAGAAGCCCCAAGGCTCCATCTTTAAAAAGAATGAAATTACCTTTTGTTTTGGTACCACCCTTCCTCGCTCCGGTCTTCAGACAAGTGCTGGCTCTAGCTTGGTCCCACAGATCCTGAAAAATCCAAGAGTGGTGTGATGGGAAATTAAAATAAAAATATTTATTTCTGAGTAGAAATACAAAATCTCTCTTTGCAAGGGAAACCACCCTGACTGGACCTCTAGAACAGTAAGCCGTGTGCTCACACCCATTTCAGACTGCCGTGCTTTTTTATTGCTCTTACATCATCGAGGGTGAACACATCCTTGACAGAGCCTCTGTCCATTCTTGGACAGGGAGAAGTGCCCACCATGTGGCAGCTGCTGACTTGGGCAGCCTCACAGGAAGGACATGCTCCTGCGGGGTGGGGATGTCCTGGCCAGGCCCTCTGTGTCTTATTTGGTGACTGATATCCAAGAAGAAGTCACATGAACGAAACGTTTGATGTCAGACTTGGAGAAAGAGGAGGAAAAAGCACAAGAAACACCGTGGTTGTGACATATAACACAGTCTTGGCTTTCTAACATGCTTTATTTTTAGGCCATGTGGTTTGGTCTTTATTTTCAAAGGAGACAAACACAAGAAGTGACCCGTAAGCTCATTGCCAAAATAGCGTATGGAGACATTTTAAAATAAGAAACATGGGGTGTTAGACATTTGAACAGTACAGAACTGAAATTACAGTGGCCTCTTTGCTTGTCCCTTACTTATCCCCAAAGCCAGTGACCACAGTGATTTTCATTCTCCTTCTAAAAGAGAAAAAATATTTATGTATATATCAGCATGTGTCTCTCTGTGTTTATATATATATGTATTCATTGCATATATGGATGTTTGCATCTATGTGTCTATATATGTTTGGGTATATGTACATAGTGTAAATATGTTTATTTTTGTGTATCCATTTGTCTATGCATGCTTATTCATATGTGAATACTAATGGATTACATGAAATAATAAAAATTAAATATAATTCTTTTTTTTTTAATATATGTATGGTGTTGGGGCTAGAACTCAGGGCCTTCCTCAAGCAAACAAGGTAAATGCTCTATCATTGAGCCACGTCCTGGTCCCTCACTGGGGGATTCTAGGCAGGTGCTCTAAACACTGAACCACACCTTCATCCCCTCACTGGGGGAGTCTAGGCAAGTGTTCTCCCACTGAGCCATATCACAAACCCCATGAACACAAAAACCCTTTCCTACTAAGTGTGAAGGTATGTGTCTGTAATTCCTGTTTTCTCTAGGTTAAGTCAATCATATCACAAGTTCCAGGCTAACTTGGGCTACCCAGTGAGGCTTTGTATTAAAAGACAGCAACAAAACCTCTTTCCTCTGTAAACAACCAGCCATAGATATTTTGTTAGAGCAACATAGACTGGACCAACATAGCACCTTTGGCTGTAATTATGGTGTGGATATAGAAGGCTGTGTGCTTCCAGGAGGGACAGAGATCCCAACTGTGGATCAAAATGTAAAAGATTCAAGAAGCCTGGCTCATAGTCATACCTGAGAAAGAACGGTGTAAGCACTGGCAAGGAGGAGACGTGTCTGTGACGCTGAGAGGTGAGAGGATTGTATGCCTGGAAAGACAGCGGACACATCGACTACTAGAAAGAATAAGAATAATGTCCCAAGTGCTAACTTTCCCAGCGTAACTGCAATGAAGCCAGCACCGCCCCCTGAACGACAGCAAAATGTGTTCCAGAATCGCTGAGCCCAACCAGTGTATTCTACTCACTCCACACTGGGGCCTCATCTCTCTGCGCCAAATACTCCAGTCTCCCCCCACTGTAAACAGACAGAGCAAGCCTGCCATAACCACGATCTAGGCTCCTAAATGCATAGTTTGTCCCATCTGGACACTCATGTATGCTCAGCACGTCACCCGCAGCCTGGCGAAAGATAACTTCTCAGTAAACACTGCTCTGTCAAATAAATGAGCCATTCTGTTGCCGCCCTCTCAATTTGGAACGTGTCTAATAAAACCAGGGCCGTGCAGCCAAGTGCCAGAGACTCATAAACCCAATAGCAAATATTACGGGTCAGCATTTTTACTTCACTTTTGAGGGGCAATGCATCTCTGGGTTACAGTGCACAATGTTATCTGTGCACAGAAGTGAAGTGGAGTGGGGCGGGAGAAGCGGCATATGGGTTAAGAGGGATTCCTGCTCCTGCTGAGAACCCGAGTTCGGTTCCCAGGATCCAGCTCACAAGCCCCTGTAACTCCAGTTTCAGGGGATCTGACACCCCTTTTGGCCTCCTAGAGGACATGCACACATGTGGCGCACACACATACGTATAAAAATAAAGCTTACAGAGAAGAATCAAAGGTGATTTCTCTCCCCGCAGCCCTCTTCTTTTAAATGTGATTACAGATGGCTATGAGCTGTCATGTGGATGCTGGGAACCGAACCCGGGTCCTCTGCAAGAACAAGAGTTAAGTTATCTCTGCAGTCCCTTCCCATGCTCTTTTTGTGTGACGGGCAGGGCTGTGACGGAAGCCAGGCCTGGAAGGTATGAAGCAAATGCTCTGTTGTTGAGCTCTGCCCGCAGCTCAGTGTCTGAGGAATTCGAGAGAGGACGTGTGTCCTCAGGACTGGAGCCACACTTGCTTTCATGTTGCATAAACAATGTATAGACAGTACAATTATGTTTAAAATAGTTTAAGATTTTTTTTAAAGTGTGGGTGTATATGCTTGTGTGAGTGCCTAAGGGAACCAGGGAGTGCATTATATCTCTGAAACTGGAGTTATAGGTAGGGGTTTTTTTTGTTTTGTTTTGTTTTGCTTTTTGAGACAGAGTTTCTCTGTAGCTTTGGAGCCTGTCCTGGAACCAACTCTTGTAGCCCAGGCTAGCCTCAAACTCAGAGATACACCTGCCTCTGCCTCCCGAGTGCTAGGATTAAAGGCATGAGCCATCACTGCCCGGCAGTAATTAACTTTTTAATATTTGTTTCTTTAGTGCCAATTTTACTATGTAGCCTTGGTTGGACTGGAACTCGCTATGTAGATCAGGCTATGTAAACTAGGCTGGCTTTGAACTCACAGAGATCAACCTTCCTCTTCCTCCTAAATGCTAGGAATAAAGATGAATGCCACCAGCCTTGGCTACAGGTAGTTGTGAACTGCCATGTGGGTGTTGGGAGCCAAAACTAGGTCTTCTGCAAGAGCTGCCAGTGCTTTTAACCACTGAGCCACCACTCCGGGCCTACTTCCTGTTTTTCCAGAGGATCTGAGTTGAGTTGGAAGTCTTCAGGAGGGCCGGCTTCAAACTGTATTTCCAGTTCCAGGGGATCAGATGTCCTATTCTGACCTCCATGGCACCAGGCACACATGGTACACAGGCAGACACACAGGCAGAACACACAAACACAAATACATAATAAAAAGGGAAAGATTTTTGAAAATAACTTTCTACGTGTGTATATTTACATGGATCCGGCTGTTCTTATTTTATTCAGGAAGTAGCAGTGTTACAGTCTGTTGTTTTTAACGTCAATGCTCAGCCGGGTGTATCTCAGCTGGTAGAATGCTTGTCTGGAAGCTGGGGCCCTAGGTCCCATCCCTAACGCTGAATAAATCAGGCACGGTGGTGCAGGCATGTAGTAGTTAGCCCGGATCTTAAGAAGTGGAGGCAGGAGGATCAGGAGTTCAACATTTTGGTTACATAGCAAATTCAAGATCAACCTGGGAAACATGAGATCACGTCTAGAGATGAGGGTAGAGACAGAGAAAGACAGAATCAAAGAAAAAAAAAAAAGAAGCCTCTTAGTGATACTCAAAACTCTCTGAATTGGCTGGTGGGTACCCTTCAAGTTGGCTTCTGTGCCCTTATCAGTTCTGTCATTCTTTTACTGTTTCCTAACTTTCTGAACCTTAACGAAGTTGCAGGCTTACTTTGTTATTTTCCTTGTCCCCCCTGCCCACGCCCTGCCTGAGAAAGAAAGCGAGGAGCTGACCCTTCGCTTGGTATCACGTATCACTTTTCTATGCCTAGGTCTCTGATTTCAATGCAGCTGAACCCGCCCTCCAATGGCAGAGGCGATGCTCTAGAGGTTGCCATGGAGACCGCAAAACCGCAGCGCACAAGGAAGCTATGACGTCACTACCGGAGCAAGTGCAGCCGCCACCATCACATCCTGGTCTTTAACTCTGTCACAGTGCACATGAGAGCGACCTCTGGGCCAGCAGTGAGAGGCGACCTACTCCAAACTGCCAAGTCGCTACCTACGACACTCAATTAAGGTGATAGCAGCGGCAGGGAGACCAGCGGTTGTCAAGGCCACCAGCAGTTCAGGGGAGTCCGCATCATCAAACTCCTTGGAGAGGCCTTGCCCAGGACCTGGGAGCCACGACCACCCAGCTCCAGTTCTGTGGTCCATGTGAGTAGCTAGGAACTTCCAAGGGTGAGCTCAGACGGGGCAGGCTGCAGAAGGCTGGGTTCCCCTTGACTGAGTAGGACCAATTGGTTCTATTAGTAGCCTCACCCGTGAGGCCCGGTTTTCTCATCACCCTCAGAAAGATCTCTCGGCACCCTGGATCCTTCTAGGGGTTTTCAAGGTAGCTCCACCGCGCAGCAGCGCGCATACAGCTGCCTCAAGGAGCTGGGCAAGATGGTATTTGGAGTCCAGGACATTGCATTGTTAGAACATGGGTGCAAGGCCTTGGAGGTGGACAGTTACAAGTCCTTGATGATCCTGGGAATCCCAGAGGACTGTAGCCACCAAGAATTTGAAGACATCATACGGACTCCGCTCAAACCACTGGGCAAGTTCGAAGTGGCTGGGAAGGCCTATCTGGAGGAAGATAGGTCCAAGGCAGCTATCATTAGGTTGGCAGAGGACCTCAATTACGACGTGGTGCCCAGGCAGATCAAGGGCAAGGGCGGTATGTGGAGAGTGGTCTACATGCCCAAGTGGCAGGACATCGAATTCCTAACCAAGCTCAATTTGTTCCTGCGGAGAGAGGGCAGGACGGTAGAGGATGTGGCCCGCATCCTCAGTCGCGAGCTGTGTCCCACCACAGTAGCTCCCAGAGAGCTACCTTCCAGGGAGTGCAGTCTGTCTCTGCAGGGGGAGAACGCTGACGAGGGGACCACCGCCAAGGCCGATGAGATGCCCCCTCTCAAGGACCCAGAGAAGGAGAGCAAGGCTGAAGAGGGCAAGAAGGGCAAGAAGAAAAACAAGAAAAGTCGGCGCCGACAGCAGGCTTCTGATAAGAAGCCGTGAGGTGATGTTGGATGACTGTGGATGGGGAATGTGTGTGGCAGGGGGGTGGGAGTCATCCGAGTGGGAATGGGATGACAGTTGGAGGGCACATAGCATTTTGGCACTTGAGAGTGAGTGAATAGGAGGTGCTGGACCAGTGAGTGGCAACTTTTGAGCCAGATTGAACATCACCTGAGTGTTTTGCATGGTATTTGACTCTGTGAAGAAAACTTACTTATTTTGGTCAATGCGGAGGGTTGCATTTGAGCATGTTGCTCACTTGCTCTATCAGGAAACCACATACTCAGCCCCTCTCTAGGCGATTCTAGGCAAACTCTCTGTTAGCGAGCTATAGCTGCAGCGTGAGCCTGGTACATTCATCTGTGCTCATTTGTGGACTGCAGCTGAGTGGGCGTGGCTAACATGCGGTTGAGGTGGGTCGTCTCTTCCTCTTTTGTTTACTCCACGTGTATCCTGAAATGACTCTTAGATCTTGGAATAAAGAAGGGTGAAAAATCCAACAAAAGTGTCTTTGACACTCGGGAGTAATAATGGGAGCACTTGGATACATCTAAGAGAGCAAAATTTTCATTTAACTTTAGATAAAGTTAAGGGATCGTATACGGTTGAGTGTGGGGACACTTTATTCATTCAACCAACAAAAATTTCTCCAACATCTGGAATGTGCCAGGTACGGGACACACGGTTAATGATTTTTAGTCTTACCCTCATGGCTCTAATTCTGTATTTGAAGAATTGTGGATAACGTTTGAGACTGTGCAAGGAGCACAGAAGTGTGTGTAGGGGGTATTGCTTGAGTAAGGGAAAGCAGCTTCTGACTGAGAAGGGTCCCAGAGACTTGTAAAAAACTTGTAGCAACTGGGAGGCCAGCAGGACCAGTCCCTCAGAGGGAGCCAAATCCACAATGGTGCATGTGACTGTTGCCACAGAGACCACAGAGGGGACAGGTGCCTGCTAGCCATTGCCTGAAGAGAAGCTCCATGATGGCAAGCCTTTGAGACCGTTTTTTGCTAGTCTTGCCAAAACGGGAGCTGACCCCGGAAGAACCTGTCCTGAAGACTCTAGTTGGGAACAAGGGTCACCATTCTGCCATCGCCAGAGGCTTGATGTTGAAGAGAGTTCAGAAGCCAAGGCTGAGACGTGAGCTACCCATGGGCCCCACTAAGGGCTCTGTTGTTCTGCATGTGTCCCTAAAAAGCTGTGATTGTTCAATAGATGTCAACTCTCCTTTCCTGAAGGGAGGGTCGGGGTGAGACCCTTCAACCCCGATTGACACCTGAGGTAGGCGTGTTTATAAACATCCCCAAATTAAATCCCAGGAGTCATGTCTTGGAGGAAGAAAAACACTCTTTAAAAAAATAAAGTGGGGAGGGGGTAGGGCAGACTTCCCATTGAGAGAGAGAGAGAGAGAGAGAGAGAGAGAGAGAGAGAGAGGAGAGAGAGAGAGAGAGGAGAGAGAGAGAGAGAGGAGAGAGAGAGACTGACTAAGCCAGGCTTGATGGCTCATGGAGGTGGGAGCAGGAAGATCAAGAGTTCGAGGTCAGCCTTGACTGTATAGCAAGTTTGAGGCCAGTCTGGGCTACATGGTGTTCTATCTCAATAAATAATAATTGGTTCTCAAGTCTATAAACTGAGTATTATGTGAGGGTGGCAAAGAGGAAAAATATTGGGAGCGTAGCACAAAGGTCCCTGAGCCCACAGATCTCCAGAGAAACCAGGGATATTGAACACACAGGATTGTCTTTCCAACGGGAAAGATGAGAAACCTGTTCTTCCATCCAGGAAGCTGGGAACCGGAAGTGATTAACATTAACAGCCTGGTGAGTTGTGTTCTCTGTTGGGCCAGGCCATATTCAGCTCCTATAACTAGGACCAGAGGAGGCTAGTAATCTAAATGACCCTAATAGCCAGAGTCTCCTCCAAGCTCCCACAACCAGGACCAGAGGAGGCTAATAGCCCAAAAGCCTCTGTGTTGTCTGTGTGACAGAGACCAGGCCAGATCCTTAGCCCCTTAAGCTAGTACAAGTAGTGTATCTCCAGAGCCCTTCTTCTTGGAAAACGGCACAGATCCTGAGTTGTTGCAATGTAATCACACTTCCTTGTGCAGCGGGGATTGATTTACAGCAGGGAGCTTTTTTCCCAAATTATACTGGACTTAAATACATTGGGAATAAACCACCTGTTATGAGACTTCCCAAAATCTGATCCATGTTGATGAAGTCAGTCTGCACCAGGTTTTCATTCCTATCTCTTCAAGTGGTTCGCTTCCCTGTATGACACCTTCAGGGACCCCCTCAGAAAAAAACAAATAGTGCAATCCAGTTGGGCACGGGTGGAGAGAACACCTACAAAGTTCTACTACTTCAGGGATCTATGAGGGTTCTAGCTGAATTTCATATCAAAACTAATTTATGGGGGCTGGAGAGATGGCTCAGGGGTTAAGAACACTAACTGTTCTTCCAGAGTGCTGGGTTCAGTTCCCAGCATCCACATGGCAGCTCACACTATCTGACTCCAAGATCTGACACTCTCTTACATACACACAGGCAAAAACACCAATGCATATCAAGTAAATAAACTAGCCCCTCTTTTAAACATGTAGGTATGTCTACACACAGAATTAATGTTTTGAGGCAGAGTCTTGCTATGCAGCCTTTGCTGGGCTGAAACTTACTATGTATCCCAGGCTGGCCTTTATTTAGCTCACGGTCTTCTTGCCCCAGTTCCCCCTGGGGTAGGAGTTACAGACTTGTACCTATGCCTATGTATTGATTTTTCTCCTATCTTATAACATGGAGATGCCATATCTTGTTTGTTTTGGGATACTGTGGTTCTCTATTAGCATCAAACTCCTTCAGCCTCCAGAGTGCTGGCATTATAGGTAGGAATCCTTCACTCATCTTTCCCTCACTGTCTGTGATCCACCTACAAATACTTCTGGAGCATGGGAATTAAAGGTGTGCATCACCACGCTCAGATATGTGCAGGTCTACCTGTGACTTTTCCGTCCCCCCTTTGATTTCTTGGAAGTTACAACTTAACGTCAGAACCAAAGGCTGTCTACCTTTCCATCTGGGAAGCCATGCCATCAGAAAAGCCTGATTCTGTCCATATGTCCTCAGTAGTTTCAAGACACCAAAGGGAGTTTTCCAATTTAGTTGATTGACATAACCTAAAGTCTCAAAGAGACATTGGTTTCTATCTACTTCCCTAGATGGCTCTTTCTGGTATCAACTTCAAATTTCTTTTCTTTAGTACAATGATTAGCAGGATAGAGCTCTTCCTGCTGTCTCCACAAACACTTTTGAATTTCTTACACATCTGTAGTCAGTCAAGAAGCTTGTGGCTCTATATGCTGTTGAGATGAAGCCAGGAAAGGGGACCTGAGTTTGATCACCAGGTCCCATGTAGTAGAAGGTCTCCACATGAGAGCCGTGGGCATGTGCACCCACCACAACACACACACACTATTAGATAATTGTGGATAAAGAAGAGGTTCTTGCCAGGAGGTGGTGACACACGCCTTTAATCCCAGCACCCGGGAAGCAGAGGCAGGCAGATCCCTGTGAGTTCGAGGCCAGCCTGGTCTACAGAGTGAGTTCCAGGACAGGTTTTTTGAAAACAAAAAAGAAAAGAAAAGAAAAGAAAAGAAAAGAAAAGAAAAGAAAAAACAAACGAAAAAGAGGTTCCTGGCTCCATGTTTACCATTTTAGTCCTGGCCTTGATGTTCCCACTCTCAGAACACTGTGTGTCTGTGCTAATTATTACATTAGCCTAATCCTACGTAGATGTCACACACCCACCAGCATGTCTGTTTGATGCATGTTGTTTAACATCAAGGCACAATGGCTGTATAATAAAGGACAATGTGACATTTTTTCTTCTTATTTTGCAGCCTGAGACATGCATGCATTTCCCGGTATTTCTCATATGGCCACTGTATCTGTGACAGGCAACATGGATCATTATTAAATGCTGCCCACAAATCCAGAATCCAGAGACAATTTCCTCAGGGAGATTGTTGGGACCAGGTGACATTTCCTGACGTTGCACTGCAGGCTGTTGTGTGACTGGAACAATTTGGTGCTTACTGCGCCCATGCTGCCGATGTCAGGCAGAAATCCCCAAGTAAACTACAACAACCTTCTTTGTTCTTTGTGGTTGATGCTCCACTGTATGCATATGAACTAATAAATAATGATGCTAATGAAACCAGACTGTGTCCTGAGTATGTTGGGGAGGTGGGGAAGCTACACAAGACTACGTTTGGGAAAATTATCTGGTTGCTAAAAAAAAAAAAAATTAGGCCAATAAAATGGCTAAGTAGATAGATTCTTTCAACCAAGCTCGCATATGGTAGAAGGGGCGAGCAAATTCTCAAGTGGTTCTCTGACCTCCACATACACGCATGTGCATCTCTCTCTCTCCCCCACCCCACACACATACATACACACACAAAGGCATTATTTTTTAAATTCCAAAGACTCCTTTGATGAGTTTTGCCTCATGGTTTTTAAAAGCGATGGTATCTGACGCCACTGGCCGAGAGAACACAGAACACCAAGCTTTCTTTCACCTGGCTGACTTCCCAGGACCCCAGGCTGTTTTCCAAAGCAGAGGTGAAAGGTGGAACACTTTGTTTAGAATAAAAACAAGTAGTGTAGAGAAGGGTGTGCTGGGCTGCGATTCCTGTTCTTGGGAGGGGAGACTGAAGGACGAGTTTAAGGCCAGCCTCAGCTACAAGAAACCCTGTCTCAAAACCTTCAAAACCACGGCTGTTTATGTAGCTCTGCTGTGGATTGCTTGCTTAGCTAGCTGGGTTGTGGGAAGCCCCTGGGTACCATCCTAAGTGTTTCAAAAACGGGTGGGAGTGCACACCTGTCATTCCATAACTTGAGAGGAAGAGGCAGGAGAATCAGAAAAATCAAGGTCATTCTTGGCTACTGATTGAGTTCACTCTGTCTCAAAAATGAGATGGGGGAGGGAAGATGGCTCGACTGTTCAGAGCACTGGTTGCTCTCCCAGAGGACCTGCGTTCAGTTCCCAGCGCCAGACGATGAGTTACAACATCTGCAGTTCCATGTCTAAGGGACACACTGCCCCCTTCCATCCCCTTTGGTTGCCAGGTGGGCAAGTGTACACACACACACACACACACACACACACACACATGCAGGCAGAACACCCATACATGGAAAATAAATTTTGTTTAGAAATGGAAAAAAATAAATGGATCAAAACACACACACACACACACACACACACACAAAATTAAAAACTAAACCAAACCACAAAGCAGTGATGGGTCCTATCCTTCATGTTAGGCCTGGTGGTACATTTTTTAATCCCAGCACTTGAGAGGCAGAGATAGGAGGATCTCTGAGAGTTCTAGGTTAGCCTGGTCTATCTACATTAGAAGTTCCTGAACAGCAGGGTTACAAAAACAAACAACCGCTGGAGAGACAGCTCAGAGGGTAGAGCGCCCAATCTTCCACTGTCCACTGTAGAGTAGTAGGCAAAAAAAAAAAAAACAAAAAAACAAACAGCCCCACCCCCCAAAAAAATCTCAAGTAGCTCTTCAGGTAGTCAAATCATCTGTTCTCATTCCTGAAGAGAAAAGGTCTGGCTTGTGACTGTAATTGTTACAAAATCAAATTAACGAGAAAGAAGCGAGAAAAGAACTTTTTCCCTTAAAGTTAAGTGTCTGGGGATCCTCGTGGGAAAGGGAAGCCAAAAGGCAATGAGCAGGGCGAGATAACTTTGTAAACCTTGGAAACAAAGAACCCTCGCTTACAGAGAGAATCCAGGGTCTTGCTCATGGCTGGCAACAGATCTACCCCAAAGCAATCAGAGCAAGACAGGACAGGCAGAGACTCAAAGTGAAACAATGGAATGCGAATATGAATCTGGAGGAGGGTTGGTTGGTTGACTCCTCCAAGCTCTCTCACGGTGGATCTCAGCTGTCTCCTGTGGCAAGGGATTTATGTCCTGCCTTGAGGCAGCCAGAGGGAAGGAACAGTGAGAATCTCCCCTAAGTTTCCTCAGGTCAGTAACTCTCAGACAGAAGGAAGAATGACTCACTTCTCCAGGTTCCTTCATCTGTAAACTACAGCACCGCAGTCTCACACTACTCTGGTATACTTTGGTTCAGACATCAGTTTTCAGTTTTATTAAATTCAATTGCTATTATTAGAGATTGAACTCAACCCAGGGCCATGCTACCTATAGGCCTGCACTCTACCCCTGGGCTGAGGGATTCTAGTGAGAGGCTCTGCCATTGAGCTATGCCCCCAGCCCCTCACTGGGGGATTCTAGACAGGGGCCCTACCACTGAGCCAACCCCCCCACCCCAGCCCCTCATTGGGGTATTCTAGGTAAGGACTCTACCACTGAGCCATGGCCACAATCCTCTCTGGGAGATTCTAGGTAGTTGCTCTATCACTGAGCAACAATAGACAATTCTTTTAAGCAGTATAAAGTTTAGTTATATAATGGTTGCACCCCAGACTGGGTGGTTTAAAACACCTCCAACAGAAATGACCAGTGGCAATTTTTATAATATCAACTATCTTGGATTTTCATTTTTAAGTTATTATATGTGTGCGTGTGAATAGACACACACACACATGCGTTGTGGAATAATCTTTTTGTACACTATGAAGATGTGTCCTTGCCAAGGTGCCTTCTGATTGGTTTAATAAAGAACTAAATGGCCAATAGATAGGCAGGAGGTATAGTATAGGCAGGATTTCCAGGCTCAGGGAGGACTCTGGGAAGAAGAGAGGCAGAGAAACTAGCCAAATACGTAATGAGACAGACAGACACACAGAATGGGATAGAGGCAAAAACCAAGTGGCAGAATGTAGATTAATAAAAATATGGATTAATTTAAGTCATATGAGCTAGTTAGGAACAAGCCTAACTTTCATAATTGATTAGTCTCTGTATTATTAATTGGGAGCTGGCAGCAGACCCAAATGAAAGTCCTACTGCTTATATGTGTGTGTATAATATGTATAATATATATAAATAATTTTTCTGAGAATTATTCTTAGAAATTGAATCCTGTACTTCTGATCTTCCTGTCTTAGTCTTCAGAGAAGCCTGGATGAGACATTAAACCCAGTTTAAGACGTTTTATTTTTGGTTTTTTGAGACATGGTTTCTCTATGTGGTTTTGGAGCCTGTCCTGGAACTAGCTCTTGTAGACCAGGCTGGCCTCGAACTCACAAACATCTGCCTGCCTCCTGGGTGCTGGGATTGAAGGTATGAGACACCACTGTTAGCATTTTTTACTAATGCGAGCCCTCTGCCGACGCAAATTCCAATTAAGCAAAATCAAAACAAGCCAAATTTAAAAATATCCAGGTTTAATGGGATTCCTGTGCTCTCGGGTGGCCGCGAGGCTGCCACCTTGACCACCATGAGGAAGGAAAAGGGACCACGTGTTTCTCTTTCAGGAGTTCATTTAAATACCCTGTGGGAGTGGTTCTGGACCCCCCCCTCCCCACAGGGGTCAGGACCTGGCATCCTGGGATTTGGAGTCCAGACCAGTACAACTCTCAGGCCTGGGGACTGGGATAGATGCGAGAGACTGGGGTCTACGCTCCCAACTTAACACCACTGCCCAGTTTAAGAAGGTTTTTAAATTAGATTTATTAGCCAAGTGGTGGTGGTACACAGTTTTAATCCCGGCACTTCAGAGACAGAGTCAGGTGAATCTTGGTTCCAGAATAGCCAGGGCTACACAGAGAAATTCTGTCTTGAAAAACAGACAAAAAAAAAAATTACCTTTATTTATTTAAGTCTGTGTTTTGCCTGTGTGTATATAGGAGTGCCACGTGTGTGTCTGGTACCCCTAGAAGTCAGAAGAAGGCATTGGATCCCCTGGAACCGGAGTTACAGATGGTTGTGAGCCACCTTGTGGGTGCTGGTAACTGAACTTGGTCCTCTGCAAAGAGTAGGAAGTGCTCGAACTCCCAGAGTCGTATCTCCAGTCCCAATTTTTGGGATTCTTTATAACTCCGACCTAGTACTTGCGAGGCAAGTGCTCCTCGGACAGCGCTAAATCCTCAGCCTCGAGGTTTAGAACTCAACGTGTGCCGCCACTTAAATCCAGTGCTCCTGGGCGGTTTCGGCGGTTCACTGCAGAACACCTCTGCTTTGGGGAAGAGGGCTATGGGAGGGGCTGCTTCTGTATCTGCTCTATGGAAGTTAGCAGCATCTCAACAAAGCTCAGCCGGGGCCACTCCTTGTGCTAGTCTGTGGAGGTAATTACCATTCAAACTGAGGGAGGAGAGGCTAGAGTGCAGCCACGTGAAGAGGAGGGACGTCATCTAAGCAAAGAGCGGAAGTGGCCCCCTGACCCAGAGGAAGCTGTAGCTGCAGGCAGTATAGGACCGGTTCAAAGCAGACTCCCAACCTCAGCCCTTCCCCCCAGCCAATAACAGCCTCTCTGACACTTTCCTTTCTCTCCCTTACCCCCTTCTCTCATTGCTAATATCTGCCTTCAAGGTCTTCCTGAGTTAAATACAATCATAAGCATTTATTTTACTTTAATTTTTTAAAGATTTATTTATTTTTTCTGTGCATGCGTGTTTTGCCCGAGTCTTTGTCTGTGCTTGTTTGGTTCTTGGGGATCTTATGTATCTGATTCCCTGCAACTGGAGTTTTGGGTGACTGTGAGTCACCATGTGGGTACTGAGAACCAAATTCAGGTCCTTTGCAAGAATAGCAATTGTTCTTAATCACTGAGTTATCTCTCCAGCCCCTGGTGTGGTTTTTTTGAGACAGGGATTCTTGTAGCCCAGGCTGGCTTTGAACTCTCTTTGTAGCTCAGAATGACTTGACCTTCTTGATCCTCTTGCCTCCAAGTACTGGGATCACAAGAGTACACCCCATGTTAAAGTCACTTTTTAAATAAAGCCCAGGTCTGGAAGATGTTTTTGTATTGGTATTAAAATCACTTTTTTAAAAAAGTGATTTGTATTTTTGTGTTCATTGATGTTTTTTCCTGCATGTATGTCTGCGTGAGGGTGTCGAATCCCTGGGAACTGGAGTTACAGACAGTTGTGAGCTGCCACATAGGTGCTAGGAATTGAACCCGTGTCCTCTGAAAGAGCAGTCAGTGTTGTTAAAAAATGCTGCAAGATCCCCAGCACTGGCAGGCAGGCAGGCCCACAGACAGAGAAGGCTGCTGGCCCCCTGACCGGGAGAGTTGCCAGCCCAGGAGGACCCAGTCATGAGATGCTGGGCTGGTCCTGGCTCCCAGGAGTCCCCGGAAGGTGCAGTTTCCCAGCGGCAAGCGGCTGCGCAGGCGGCGGGTAGAAGGCACATAGACAGGCACATCATACAGAATAGAATTGGGTATTTATTACTTAGAGGAGAGAGAGGGAAAGAATGAGAAGAGGAGAGAGACAGAGAAGGGAGCAGGGGAGAGGGTAGCGCGCGCCAAAAGGAATGGTGAGAAGCTAAGATGGGGGGGGGGGGTCGTCACCGGGAGTGTGCGTGGCTTGTCTCTTAAAGAGACGAAAATCATAACAAGTGCTCTTAACCATTGAGCCATCTCTCCAAATCCTGATGTCACTTCTTTACTTGGCTTTTGTTGCTGTTGAAAATATTATCTTTATTCCTGGTATGGTGGCCCATGCCCCTAAGGCCTCAAAGGGCGAGACAGGAGGATTGTTGAGAGTTTGAGGTCATGTGGGATACATAGTAAGTTAAGAACTAAGGGCACTACAACATCTCTGTGATCTTAAAGATTTATTTTTGTTTCTAAGAAAAATATTAGCCGGGTGGTGTTGGTGCACATCTTTAATCCCAGCACTCAGAAGTCATAGACAGATGGATCTCTGTGAGTTCGAGGCCAGCCTTGTCTACAGAGTGAGTTCCAGGACAGACTCCAAAGCTACAGAGAAGCAAAACATTTTAATTTAAAAATTTATCATTGCGTCTGTATTTGCATATGTATAATCTGTGTGTGGGGTTGCACTGTGGCGATCAGACAGCTTTGTAGAGTTGGTTTTATGTGGGTTCTGGGGACTGAATTCAGGTTGTCACACTTGCATGGCACATGTTTTTACCCAATGAGTTATCTTGTGGGTCCGTTTTTTATGTGCACGAATGTCTTGCAGGCGGGGTGTGTGTGTGTGTGTGTGTGTGTGTGTGTGTGTGTACCACATGAGTGCAGTACCCACAGAGATCAGAGGAGGGTGTTAAATCCTCTGGGCCTGGAGTTGCAGAGGGTTGAGAGCCATCATGTGGGTCCTGGGACTCAACCCAGGTCCTCTGCGAGAGCAGCTCAGGCTCTTAACCATTGAGGAATCTTCCTGGTCCCATCCAGGTAACTGCAATGGCCTTCAAACGATCTCGGCCATAAGCGGGCCGCAAGCGTAGGTAGCTCTTAGTCTTGCGCGTCGAGAATAGAAGGTTGGAGACTCAGTCAGTGACTTTCAGGGAAAGCTGAAGACGTTAGTTTTGGCAGCTGAGGTGGGACTCCCTCCCTGGCCTCAACGAGGCCCTGAGGGGTGGAGGGGCGGCCACACCTCTGTGGAGGAGGAGAGGGAGGCTGCCCTGAAGGGAGTGGACAGCTCCGCTGCCAGTCTTTTCAGTCTGAGAGTGTAAGATGAGACGGAGTAGGTGGGCCTCACCCAGGAGGGGAGGGCGCCCAGAAACTTCCTGCGGCTCTCTGCTCCACAGCGTACCGCAGCCTGCGAAACAAGGTCGGCCTGGAGCGGGTGGCAGCCTGCCTGGGGGCGGGAGACCCTCCCCGGGGCTGGGCGGAGGCCTTTAAGCGCCTCGCCATATTGAGCAGCCACGCTGAGACGCCTTTGTTTGTAGAGTCCTCCCGCTAACTTTCTGCTACACTCGGAGTGTCCGGGCCTAGGGAGAAGCGATCCGAGCCCGTGCGTCCCCAGCTTGGAGCCGGGACACTGGCGTTTCCCGTGTGAACCCAGCTTTTAGCCTCGGGATTGACCGCGCCTCAGTTCACGTAAGCATCCTGGAAAATCGCTCACTACAACTCGGACGGAGTGAGGGAAAATCCAACTTGGATTTGTCGCCTGCGGAGAAAATTGCAGGGAGGTGACACTCTGCATGAGCAGAGTTGCTAGGACTCTCCCCTGCCCCCTCCCTAAGACTAGAAGCTAAGTTTTTTGTTTGGGCTTCGTGCCCCCCACCCCAGAATCCACTCTGGAGATCTTAAAGACTCTCGAGAAAAGCCACGTGGGGGGCTGGTTCCCCTGGGGCTTCCTCCCCTCTCCCGATTGCCTGATCCTCTGGAGCGTCCCTGATGTCTGCAAAGATGTCGATCTGGACGTGTTAGTGGAGGCCTTAAGGCCTGTGGGCACCTTTAAGAAGATTGGGAAGGTGTTCCGTAAAGAGGAGGACTCCACGGTGGGAATGCTGCAGATTGGGGAGGATGTTGACTATCTGCTCATCCCCCGGGAGGTCCGGCTGGCTGGGGGCGTGTGGAGAGTCATCTCCAAGCCCGCCACCAAGGAAGCTGAATTTCGGGAGCGCCTGATTCAGTTTCTGCAGGAGGAGGGCCGCACCCTGGAAGACGTGGCCCGAATCATCGAAAAGAGTACTCCACACCCACCCCAGCCCCCCAAAAAAGCCAAAGAACGCCGAGTGAGGAGAGTCCCACAGATGGTCACTCCTCCACTTCGGCTGGTCGTAGGCACCTATGACAGCAGCAACGCCAGTGACAGCGAGTTGAGTGACTTCGAGACCTCCAAAACCAAAGGCAATAGGGGCTCCCAGAGGACCAGAAAGGTGCGCAAAATGCCAGTCAGTTACTTGGGCAGCAAATTCCTGGGCAGCGATGTGGAGAGCGAGGACGATCAGGAGTTGGTAGAAGCCTTCCTCCGCCGCGGGGAGAAGAAGCCCAGCGCTCCTCCTCCACGTCGCCGAGGCAATCTGCCAGTGCCCATGTTTGAGGACAACCTGGGACCCCGGCCGTCCAAGGCCGACAGATGGCGAGGGTATGTCAGCCAGGTGTCCTGGGGGAAGCTGAAACAGAGGGTGAAGGGCTGGGCACCCAGATCAGGCTCGGACATGGTCGAGACCCAGCAGGCCTCCATCGCAGCTGAGAGGGCTGGAGAATTGAGACGTAGCCATACCAGTCGGGACGATAGCTCCAGAAACACAGGAGACCGGAGCGACCAGACACCGGGTACCAGACGCTGGAAGCCCAAGATCAAGTGGGTCTCCTTGAGGCGGTGCAGGAAGGAACAGGCGCCACTCGCGGCTCAGGGGACAGACTTGCCAGCTGAGGGGCCCCCAGAGGCTGCAGAGAACCAGAGGGTAGATGTTCCAGCTGAACGTGGAGTAGAGGCTGCACCTAATCCGAGAGCAGAGGGGGCAGCTAACCCGAGAGCAGAGGCTGCAGCTAACCCGAGAGCAGAGGCTGCAGCTAACCCAAGGGCAGAGGCTGCACTTAACCCAAGACCAGAGGCTGCTGCTAATCCAAGGGCAGGGGCTGCACCTGAAGAGAGGGCAGAGGCTGCAGCTAACCCGAAGGTAGAGGCTGCAGCTAATTCAAGGGCAGAGGCTGCAGCTAACCCAAAGGTAGAGGCTGCAGCTAACCCAAAGGTAGAGGCTGCAGCTAATTCAAGGGCAGAGGCTGCAGCTAAACCGAAGGTAGAGGCTGCAGGTAATCCGAGGGCAGCGGCTGCAGGTAATCCGAGGGCAGAGGCTGCAGCTAATCCGAGGACAGAGGCTGCAGCTGATCTGAGGGCAGAGGCTGCAGCTAATCCGAGGACAGAGGCTGCAGCTGATCTGAGGGCAGAGGCTGCAGCTGATCTGAGGGCAGAGGCTGCAGCTGATCTGAGGGCAGAGGCTGCAGCTAATCTGAGGGCAGAGGCTGCAGCTAATCAGAGGACAGAAGTCATAGGTAGTCAGAGGGCAGAGCGCCCAATTAACCAAGAGACTGGAGGTGCAGAAAGTGAGAGGGTGGAGGCCCCAGCTGACCAGAGGGCAGGAGTCCTCCACGACCAGAGGGAGGAGGCTGGACCTCAGGCTATAGCGCAAGCCTCAGCTAGCTCTGTTACCCTAGGGACAGCCCCGGGATCTAGGGCCCGGAAACAGGTAAAGACAGTGAGGTTCCAGACCCCAGGACGGTTCTCATGGCTTCACAAGCGCAGGAGGGCCTTCTGGCACACTCCCCGGTTGCCAGTCCTGCCCAAGAGAGTCCCCAGGGTAGGTGAGGCTAGGAGCCTCAGGGTGCTGAGGGCTGAGGCTAGAGCAGAAGTGGAACACAGACAGCAAGAGGAACAGCTGTGAGAGGTGTCCAGGGCCCCTGCACCCTGCCCTGTGCTGGCCGCTAAGGTGCCTTGTAGGCTCCTTCTACCTCCATGTTTGAAAATGGAGGCTGCTGAGGCAGGCAGCACCTCCTATGCCTTTACCAGCATTACTTTTCTCCTCCCTCCTCCCCCCCCCTCCTCTTTTTGAGACAGTCTTGTTGTGCAGCCCTGCGGGTCTGGCATGCTGTACATAATTGGTCTCAAACCCACAGCAGCCCCTGTCTGAGTATCCTGTGCCCTAGGATTGCAGGTGTGTTCCACTACATCTGGCTCCCGTGACCTCTTTTGTTTTTGTTTTGTTTGAGACAGGGTGGCTGACCTGGAATGCACTGTGTCTTAGGCTGACCTCGAACTCAGAGAGATCCACCTGCCTCTGCTAGAACCAAAGGCACATGCCACCACCAAACCTGCCTTCCTGTGGCCCTCTTATGATCTTGTTTTTTTCTGATAAAATCATTTGTTTTTAGGGGGTTTCTGATAAAATCATTTGTTTTTAGGGGGACATAGCTGTAGACACACTTGACTTTTTTAATACATTGATTTTTTTTTAAAAAATATACTGAATATAGCATCTCAGAGAATGTAAGGAAAGAAGCCCACGAGCGTGCTTGCCTGGACGGTGCTATAACGTCTCGCTGTGTGTCTTAAGTGTGCACAGCCTGGCAATGGGAAATGGGCAGAGGAGGGGTTATTCTGTCCTATGTCTTCTGTCTACAACTAGCTTTGATGGACGGCCCCTTTTGCACTTAAAGAGAGGGCTCAAGCTGATATGCAAATAAAAGTGTTTACAACAGTGGTTCTCGACCTTCCTAATGCTGTGGCCGTTTAATACAGTTCTTCATTTTGGGGTGAACCCCCACCCATAAAATTATTTCTGTTACTACTTCATAACTGTAATGTTGCTACTGTTAGGAACTGTAATGTAAATATCTGGTATGAAGGCTCTCTGATATGTGACCCCTGAAAGGGTTGTTGGACTCCTAAAGGGGTCATGACCCACAGGTTGAGAAACACGGGTTCTCAACAAGGGGGTTTCTTGTTTCCGAGTCGTCATGGATGGTGTTGGGGGTGATTTGGCTTGGCTCCTTAATGACGATGACCCTGTGTTTAAGCTGTCACTTTGCCAGCCATGTTTAGGCTGCTAAGTGCTGGAGGGCTGGAGGTTAAAGGGCCTGTGGACTTCACATACCACACTGATTTTGGCGACAAGGCACTGAAAAGCCACAAGGAGTAGGGTGCAGGAGAGATGGCTCAGCGGGTAAGAGCCCTGACTGCTTCTTGCAGAGAACCTGGGTTTGATTCCCAGGACCCACATGGTGATTCACAGCCATGTGTAACTCCAGTTCCAGGGGATCAGATGCCTTCTGTTCTTCAGTCACCGGGCACATATATGATATACATACATGCCACATATGTCACCAGGCAAATATATAAAACACATACATGCAGCCCAAACACCTAGACACAAACTGATGCCGGATGGTGGAGTTCTCATGCTTTTAATCCCAGCACTTGGGAGGCAGAGGCAGGCGGATCTCTGAGTTCGAGGCCAGCCTGGTTTACAGAGTGAGTTCCAGGACATCTGGGGCTACACAAAGAAACCTTGTCTTGGAAAACAAAACAAAATAAACAAACAAAAAGGTCACCAGAAAAGCACTCAAAGCATTTAGTCTGGGACCCTGTTGTTGTACTGTGGTGTAGGCCAAGATGACTGCGTGGCCTTTGAATGTGAAGAGATTTTTTTGCTCTCTGTTTTCTGAGACAGGGCCACCTTATATAACCTCAACTGTATGGTCCTGCTTCTGTCTCCTGAATGCCAGGATTGCAACTGTGTGCCGCCCTGCCCAGCTTCCTCTTGCTGTGGTCGCTGTCACTCTGTTTCTATGATATGCCTGTGGGAGTCAGAAGACAACTTGGGATCAGCTCTCTCCTACCATGTGGATTCTGGGGATTGAACTCAGGTCATCAGGCTTGGCAGCAATCAGCTTTACCTGTCCTTACCTCACCACCCTCTTCAGTCTGTTTTGACTGAGCTTACAAACATCTGGGGATGGTTTAACTGTTAGAAAAGAAGCATGCTCAAAGGGGGAAGCAGTGTGCACAACTGCCTCTTATGACCAGACACTGGCTGCCCAGGGACTGCAGGGGTGGAAGGAAGGTGAGGGTGACTCTCTGTGATGGTTCACAGCCTACAGTCACTAGCAGTGAAAAAGAGCGTTAGTGGGAGAGAGCAGCCCAGCCTTCTTGTGGTGGTTTTTGTTTTGTTTCATTTTTTTGCTCTTTTTTTTTTTTTTTTGAGACAGGGTTTCTCTGTCTTGGAGCTCACTTTGTAGACCACGCTGGCCTCAAACTCACTGAGATCCACCTGCCTCTGCCTCCCGAGTATTAGAATTAAAGGAGTGCGCCACCACCATCCAGCACCCAGTGCTCTTGTGATTGAAGAATTATGTCCTAGGAGCCCTTACTTTCTTTCTTCTTTTTTCCCCCTGTGGAGAGATATCTGTGGAGACAACACAATACAAAAGGGAAGGAAAAGAAAGGTGGGTTTTACAAAGGGTCATCATAGAGCCAGCCTGCCTAGAATTCCCCAGTGATAGGTGTGGCTCAGATGTTAGGCAGGGGCTCTGCCACTGAATCATGTCCCCAGCCCTCACTGGGGGATTCTAGGCAGGGGCTCTATCACTGAGCCACACCCCAGCCCCTCACTGGGGGATTCTAGGCAGGGGCTCTATCACTGAGCCACACCCTAGCCCCTCACTGGGGGATTCTAGGCAGGGGCTCCATAATGAGCCTTTGTATACTCGCCTTTCTTTTCCTTCCCTGCTGTGTTCTGAAAGGGAACAGTCACATAATATACTGCACAGTTCTCAGTGTGGCCTTGCTATAGCCCCTTTTGGTATTGGTTATGGGCAAAGCTTGTTTCCTTACAGCTCACAGCCAGTCCAGAAGAAACTCCCACTGATGAGTTGACAAAAAGGTAAAATATGGACCCCTACCTGGAGGAGTGGTCTTGGTGGGGGCTGGATGTGTCTGGAATGACCAGGTTAGGGGTAGAGATTGGGGTGGTCCTTGTTGTCCACAGCCACTTGAAGGTAAAAAGGAAAGCATCAAAGGACGGTATCACCTAGTGACTGTGCTCAGCCTCCCTCACAGGGCCTGGAGCTCAGTGGGCTTTAGGGACAATATTGGAGTACCAGGTAGGGAAAAGGGTGTGTGTTGTCACAGCAGAGGGAGGATGGATCAGACACAGGACTACAGATTCCAGACACCCTTTGCCCTTGGTGACACTTCATTTTACTTTACTGGCGCGGGTGTACATGTACACATGCACGTGCGCGCGCGTGCACACACACACACACACACACACACACACACACACACACACCTAATCCACACTGACACAAGCACAAATGAATAGGCCCCCATACAAATGCATTGGCAGCCCTCCCAAAATGTCCACAAATCCATGGACACACATACACAATGTTCATTCACACTGAGGATCACAGACCCACCAGGTCTCCACACATGCCAGGAAACCCTCTGTCCCCTGACACACATGCTCCACCATACTTACAAATGTTAGCATCGACACCCATGCTGCTAGACACCCCTGTAGACACATGCAATACCACCAAAACCCAGAAGACTGTTGCAGAATGGATTGACACTATGGAGGACCCTCTTCCTGGGAGATATTCCCACGGTTTGAAATTGGACAAACCTGGGTCAGCTTGACCTTTAGCCTGCCCCTCCCTTGAGTGGACACGATGTTCTCCTCCCTCTCTTATCAAGCAGGAGCATCCAGAGAGAACCCAGATGTGAGAGAGGAATCCTTGCATTGCCCTAGACCAACAGGATAAGTGGTGTTGTAACTCCCACGTGAGATGTACAACCACTCTAGAGTTATATGGTGCTGGGGATCAAACTCAGGGCTTCAAACATGCTAAGCAAACACTACCAACTGAGCCCTATGGGATTTCTGCTTAGTCGGTTCCCAAATTCAACCAGAGGCACAGCTTCTGAACTGTGTGTGAGATGTTGAGCATGCCCAGGTCACCCAGTTTACACAAGACGCCTAGTCGCCTGCATAGTTTGGACCAGCGGGATTGAAGCGCCACCTGCTGGTCATAATGAGAACTGTGGCTAATTCAGGCAAGAGGCTGTGACTGGTTTGGGATTAAAGTGAAGGCCTACTTCTGCAGCCATCCTAGACCGTTCTAGAACATGGTCACATCCCTGGACACACCAAGGGGCAGATATAGCCTCGGAGGCCGAGGGGAGGGAGGGTCTTCACAGGCAGTACCCTGTGACCACTTGTGGCCAGGAGTCATGACCAAGTCAGAATGATTCATAAATGAGTTTAAAGTTGCACCACCAAAGTGTGAATTTAGGGACTTGGTCTTGCAGGTACCATTTAAACCTTCTTTGTAGCTGGGATGAGCATGCCGTGAACCCCGGGGTAGGATAACAGGGAGTTCAGACCACAAGGTTCGTCATGTGGGGAATGAGGGTGAGAACTCCTGCCCTCATCCTAGCCCCCTTCTTCCTGATGGAGCTGAAGAAAAGAAGACACAGGCATGAATGCGACCCAGAATCTGAACAACCAGCCCCTTGCTTTCTTTTCTTCGTTTTTAAAAATCACATTTTAGGCAGCATGGTGGTACTGACCTGTAGTGTCAGCTACTCCAGGGACTGAGGGTCACTTGATTCTGAGAGTTCAAGGCCAGCCTGGGTAACAGGTGAGACCCTGCATAGATAAACACACGGACAACCACGCGGATAAGGAGGCTGAGGTAAGGGCTAGAGAGATGGTTCAGTGATGCAGAGGACAGAAGTTCAGTTACCAGCATCCACATCCAGAGGCTTACAATCACCTCTAACTCCAGCTCCAGGGGATCATATTGGCCTCCCAAGGCACCTGACACATGTCACATGTGCACACACACACACACACACACACACACACACACACACACACACACAAATATGCTCTTACCCAAAAAAAAAAAAGAATTGATGGGAGAGACACACGGAGAGAGAGGAAATCTCTCCTTGCTGGGATCTCCTTGACCCTACCCTTCTCCACCTGTATGTCTGCTTAGATTTCCCACTATATTCTTCCCTGCCATAGCCAAAGCAGCTGTATTCATCAACCAATAAAAGCAACACATATTCACAGCATACAGAAAGACAGTCTGCATCAAACAGGAGGTGGGGGACTCGGTGGCCACTTGTGTCCACCTCAGACTGATTGAAACCCTTGGCTTTCATGTGGGCTTGTGTGAGCGAGCATGCTGGATGGCACCTCTGACATCATAGTCTGGGATGAAGACAAACGCATGACGTATCAGCTCCTAAAATGAAGAGGCAGGATTAGGACATCAAAGAAGACTATATATAGTGAGTCTGAGACCAGCCTGGGATACATAAGACACTGTTGGAAGGATTGATTGAATACAGAAATGGCAGGATAGTCTGCTCTAAGAGCATGTTCATACTGTCCATTTCTGAGCATTATTCTAAGATTTATTACACATCCAACTGCATTGCCCCATGATACTGACCTCCCTGCTTTTTAAAAGATGAAGCTCTTGCTGGGTGGTGGTGGTGCACGTCTTTAATCCTAACACTTGGGAGGCAGAGGCGGGGGTGGGGGAGTGGGAATCTCTGTGAGTTCAAGGCCAGCCTGATCTACAGAGGGCAATCCAGGACAGCCAGGACTACACAGCAAAAACCATGTCTCACAAAATGAAATAGAACAAAACAAAACAAAATTAAGCTCATAACTCCGA